AAATACACAGAAGAAATACATCTCATGGATCTGTTTTACTTATCAAAGGAGTCTGTCCATCCAGCCCTGAGATCTGGCAGGACAGGAGACCTGAATTTTTCTCTGCTACAGTAAGTAACACTTACAGGTTTTCTCCTTTCTTTCACTCTGCTCTCTCCTCCAATCACCATGTTCTTTGTTAGCACATGTGTGCTACAACACAGCTGATTGGCTCCTTGTGCTGCTTCTCCTTCTCTGACTCTGTGTTATGTGTACAAGGGCTTCAAAAGGCAGATACCAAGCCAAATTTAGGTACCTACACTGCATGCATTGAAAAAAATAATATATATAATATAGCTAATTATAGCTAATTTGCCTACAGACGTCAGGTGGTCATGATAAACTGGCCACTCAGTGTATATATATAATGATGTGTTCATAGATACACGTCTGTGTTGATTTGTTTCATTTTCAGTTTTAATAGTTATTTTTCTATACATTTACAGGTAGATACAGCTCTCAAGGAAAAGTGACAAAGGTTGGAGGAATTATAACACTTCTGCTTACAATGGTAAATTTTTGTTCACTTGATCAATAAAAAAAGAATAGGGCCCCTTTCTTTCACACCGGCGGTCTGATTAGGTCCACCTGTCAGTTTTTCAGGTGAACCTGACTGGATGCCCAATGCTAGTCTATGGGTAGCCGGGTCAGAACTTATGGGCGTCCGTTTACACCCAGTTACCCCGACTCCGGCCAGGTTCTGAAAAACAAACGGAACAGTGTTCCGTTTTGATGCACCTGATCATGCCAGATCGGGGTTAATCTGATATAAATGGATACATATCCCATATTCCCCATAGATCGACATGGGGTCCAGTCATTTCAGTGTTTTCCTTCATTGCAAGATGAAGGAAAAACTTGATGGACACAAATGTCTCAGTGGTGACATCCAATCTGTACTGCTCCCATCAGGAGGGGATCCCTTGTGAAAAGTCTAAACAAAACACAAAACTGTAGCTGCAACTGTTTAAGAGTAATACTTTGTTAAAACCATTGTCACTTGGGTTGGCCAGCTTGGTCTGCATGTACATTTGAAAAAAATATATGTCTATGAGGCATGTGAAATAAAAAAAGTAATTCATATACTGTATGCAATCATTGCATATTTTTACCACATGCTGCTACGAGAATAAAGGATTTTTCACAACAGTGATCATTGAAGCTTACAATCTGTAGTAGGGTAGGGTGACTAATGAATTGTGTCTAATGAAATAGGTATCTTTGAAAATAACCATCTTTGCTAAAACATTTATACTAGGACATCAAACCAGCCATTAAACTGATTGAAAAATAGCATATTTCAAAAAAGGAGAGGTATTTTTAGCACATTTGGTCAAATAATAATTTCTTTCAAATGGTGTCTGGTGAATAATTAAATACCAATGGTTTAATTGTGTATTCGTCTAATATTACACCTACCTACACTCAACAAGGTTTAAATTGTATGTATTAAAAACAAAGTCACAAGATTAGTGTAAATAGGGATATCAGAGAATTTCTTGGCACAGGTAAAGTGCCTCAGTGGTCAACATTGTTATTATTGATGAGTGCATCTGCTTAGATTTGCTCTGCTGGCGATCTGGCAATTCCAAACTTGCAATCTGCTTCACAGTTTCTTGTCACATATCTCTGGCATCAAAAAACAACTGTACTCCTACATTAAATCACCCCAAAGTCCCCTTCCACATGAAAAAGTAAATGGTTATACAGGCCTTAATTTAATGCTTCTTAACGCTAACCTGCATTGCACAGCCCTGGTCTGTGCATTATAATGGAGTAGAGTTTTAAGCCAATGGCCCACTAGTTTCCACTAGCTGGATTCCTTCTATCCCCACAAAGCACACTTCAAGTTCTTCCTACACCACTTTCGCTAGCTCTCTCCTCTTTTGAAGTTCATTGTATACGTCGACTTCCAGGACCAGTGTTACGCTTCCTTGGCAACTTCTCTGTCTAGCTACCCTATTTTCTTTCCTCTGAAACACCACTGTTATTCTTGGTGACTTTATTGTCCCTGCTAATGTTAACATCACAGCCACCTCTCAGCTACTCAGCCTAATTTTTTCCTTTGGCCTAACGCAATGGACACTTCTACTCATTCTGATGGTAATGCCCTTGACCTCATATTCTCCCACCTCTGCACTCCTCGCAATCTCTCCAACACCCCTTTTCCACTCTCTGATCACAACCTCATCACTTTCACACTCTCCCTATCTTTTAGCCCCCTACCACTCCAACCAGCAAACCATTCCCAGGAGAAATCTTTGCCACTTTAACCCTTCTCTTCTCTACTATGCAACAGACTACCTTTATGATAAAATTCCACCCCTATCCTGCCCTTGTCATTTCTCTCTACAAAAGCTCACTCTCATCCTGGCACAATTGCCCCACTCGCCACTCACAAAAATAGGCCTCGTCCACTACAAACTTGGCAAAAAGATGACACCAGAAGACTCACAAGACATAGTTGTGCTCTTGAGCAACTGCACGCTATATAAATCTACCCTCCAGAAATGTAGTACCTGCCTCCATACAGCTAAATAAACCACGTCATCACACTCATTAACATGGATGTCACACCACTTCCTCAAACTCAACCTTTCCAAAACTGAATGTCAGGGAAATCCGACCGGTGTCTTTAGTACAGCATCTGCGCAGACTGCTACATGTGCAACTGTGCAAAGGAATGCGAGAGTAAATCGTTATGGTGCCAACAATGGGCACATACATGTGCGTAGATAGCAATGCGCTTGTGTTAATGAAGCACAGTGCACACATGCGCGCATGCCCATTCCAGTCAGTGGCACCAGGAGGGCTATTTAAGGATGTTTCCTGCAACTGCATGTTGCTGGAAGATCTTCAGCTGTACCTTGTATTCTATTCCTCTTTCTGAAACTCATACTTGACCCGGCTTGGCTTCTGACTCTGCTGATTGCTGCCTGCCTGTTAACCTCGGTTTTCCCTCTGATTCGGTACTGCTCTGCTTACAAGTATGATCTGCTTCTTCAGCTATTCATTACAAAGAAAACTTCAGCTATTCATTAACAGCTCCAGTGTCATTAACATATGTACCAGTTATAGGCATCCGTGCCCCTCTCTGTTCAAACACCCTCTGTGTGACCTCTAGGGGTGCTCAGATAAGAGTTGCAAGGGGAGGCCTTTCTTGTCACCTTAAGGCTCATACCAAGGTGCATGACACTGAGCTTATCATTTTTCAACATAATAACTGTCCTTAACATCAAAAACAAAAGCTGTCCTTTTACTTCTTCCATTTGCTCATCACACACAATTATTACTTATTGTATCACTTACCCTTCCACTAGATTGTAAGCTCTCACAAGCAGGGCTTATCATATCCTTCTATTTGAAATTGTATTGTAACTGTACTGTCTCCTTCCATTTTGTAAAGAGCTGTGTAAACTGCTGGTGCTATATAAATCCTGTATTATAATAATTATAGTGATCTTGTCACTGGTGGCAGTTTACCATGAGACAGGATCACTAATGGGCAAAGAAATGACACCTGCTACTATTGGCCATACCAGCGAGGCATCACTCAGTTGCCATTCCCTCACTAGTTAGTTCCCACAAGTGACAGGATCACAAGTGACAGGATAGGCCTAATGCAAGTTTAATCCCTCTGCTGTAGTGTGTATGCGCATGGCTATTGTGACTAAGGCCTCATTACCAGTCCACTTCTATGGGTTCCCCTCACAGTTTCACTTTGACCAAGCATAGTTTCCCTGCCCATCCTTGGTGACCAGAGCCCACGTAAATTGGCCAACACATGAGCACAACTTAAACTGATGATGTGGCCAATTAATTTGTAAGTAGGCTGCTTCTTATAAGGTAAGTGAGGTAAAATTAAGATAGTTATCTATCTCATGATTGCATGGTTTAAGGACAAGTCCATAAATATATTCACTTTGGGCAAGGGACAGGTTATCCTTAGGGCAGCTGGGTACTCTGCAGGTTAGAAGTGTGCTGGTAATAAATAAAGATATTAGATGTGTGAGGAATATGAGAGGAAGTAACCCAGCTGCCCCCTAGAAGCATAAGTCTGAGTACCCCTACTTACTTAAACCATATGGCCAAATGTTTGTTGACACCTGGCCACCAAACCTATAGGAGTTTGCTAAATATCTCCTCCCAAAACCATGGGTAGTAATATGGGATTGTACTGCCCAACTCTTTTCAGTTACAAAAAGCTCCACTCTTCTATCAGGCCTTCTTTCCACAAGATTTTGTTTTGTTTTCCTCAAGATGTTCATGAGAAGACATGGCCCACAATCAGTGTTCCAATTCATCGTAAAGCTGCTCAAAAGGTTTGAGGTCCATCCCTCTGCAGGCCACTTGAGTTCCTCCAAACCAGACTTGTCAAACCATGTCTTCATGGAGCTGGCTTTTTGCAAAGGGGCAGTAATGCTGGAACAGAAAAGCGCCTTCCCCAAACTGTTATGCACAATTGTGTAAAATGTATTTGTACTGTATGTTGTAGGATTAACAATACCTTCATTCGAACTCAATAATTTGGAGGGTGTCCACATCCTTTTGACCATATAGTGGGAGACTTCTTTTAATTATGTCACACAACAAGGCACTGCTAAACAGGAGCACTGAGACAGAATTATTATAATAATTGATTGATTCAAATATTCCCCCTTTCTGCTCTAAAATAGCACTGAGACAGAATAAAACCTGCCACTTCATAATTGTGTGTCTGTTTGGAGTGAAAATATGTTTCATTGTACTGAAAATTTGTCTTGTTTCCATTGTTAATTCTCTTGCAGACCTGTGCAAAACTGTTTTGATTGACTGCAAATGACTGCAGGCACAGGGGTCTCAGATATATAAAAAAAACAAAAACAAAATGCGAAATTTAGTTGCTATTTTGCTTGATACAAGAAATTTCTGGTATGCTCTTATTCAATATACAAAATATATAACATGCCACTTGCACTCACCTCATCTGAGCCAGATCCAAATATCAGCAGATCAAAAGGTATTGCTGCAACCATATCTATTAGGAACCAGCCTTTAAAATAATGAATAGCTATTTTTGCAGGATCGCTGACTACCTCCTCGTTCTGATTAACGTATGTGGTCCGGAAATTTATGAGGATATCGATGATAAACATGATATCCACCATTAAGTCTACGACATTCAGAGGGTTGCAGGAATATCCACACGTGCGTCTCTTCTGCTCCTCTATGTCATTCAGAAGGAAGGCAGCTGAATAAGGAGTGAAAATCGCGGTATAAATAACGAGCAACAAAATGAGCCAGTCCCACACGGCTTTGAAAGGGCTATAGTGCAATATAGTAAACTTATTGATACGAGGTGTTTGAAGTTTGTACTCCGGCAAGACGTCCGCTCCCAGTGACAGAACCTGCGGAGAAAGAGTAGCGAAGATGACAATTAGGGAAAATATATGTGTTTACACTGCCATAAAAGGTTAACATGTCCTCTGCTCCGCAATGCACAAATTGATACACAACAACATTTCTAGATCGGGCTGCACAATAATAATAACAAATGAGTTGTACAGCTTTAACAAGCAGGGATCTCACACTTTTTGTGTCCTGGTGTTTGGAATTATCGCTGTTCTGCATTATTAATGTATGTTTTTGCTGTAAACTATTTAATAAAGAAAATAACACAGCTATAATTAAAATCAGCAACCTATTATAGTAAGAACATATATATATATATACAGGGCTTGAAAAATTTGGCGGTGTCTCACCAGTCAGTCAAAAATTTCCTCAGTCAGCATGACCTGACTATAGCCTTGCTATATATGTTAAAAAATGTTGGGGACAGATAGAGCTTTCTTTCATGGTTATTCACAAATGGGTGAAGAGTTTGAAAAGGCAGAAGTGAAAAATCTAGGCCAAAAGAGCTGATTTGAAAAATTCTCCAAGTCAGCTCACTTTCCAGTTCAGCTATGTTGTCCTAGATTGTTCACTTCTCCAAACTCTTCACCCTTTTGAGAATAACCCTGTTGATGTTAACAGGAGGCCTTCTTCCCTCCCACATATGCCAGTGTTTGGACCTGGCGATTGTCTGCTAAGGCCTAAGCAATTCCTGGGAGGAAGTGGAGGTTCCATGCTTTCCAATACATAGAAGTACTACATATTTCACAGGGATACAACTGGAAAACAGAATGGGGGATTCTTGACCAAGGTATAAGTAGGAGGGGGTGTAAAATGTCACTCACTTGGCCCTAAAAGGGCAAAGTCACAGATGCTATTTTAAGTATCTGCACAATGTTATCTTTAATCACATACAATTGCCCAAAAAGATATTATCCGTCTCCTTTAAAATGCCATTTCCATGCTTCCATGCATAAAGGTGAACCTATTATTATTATAATTGCTTCTGGCCCACTTGTGTCCTTAAGTTTTCCTGATTTTGCAATCATTTTTTGAAAAAGTTTTATAATTTTTATCCCTTCAGGCTTCACAATAGGGCAGCCGATACAGTAAAAGTAGGATCTAAAAGAAAGCACTCACAAAAAATAAGTACAAATAACATTTGTTAGGTACACCACTGGAGCAGGAGGCTTGAATAGAAAACATCCATTATCTCATAGAAAGTACTTAGTGGCAAGTGCTCCATGAAACAGCTCTGGTCTGGAATTACTACCGTACTGCAGTTTCACATTGTTACACTAACCGCTAAATAATATAGCTGATTTAAAGTGCATTTTTCTACCCAGTGCTTGCAAAAATGCTAACTCCAGAATATGTTCTGTATTAGCAACACTATACAAACACAATAGTCAGCATTCCAACTTCATGCATTGGTATTTATAGATAAAAGCATATTTACATACTAACAGACAAACCTTCCTAAGATGTATACTACTAAATGTAGGTTTGTTCCGTGTGAAACGAAACTACACGATATTTGGCAAAAGTAAGGGGACACCCATCTAAATGATTGAGTTAGGGTTTTTCCAGTAATGGGTTTTGTTATGCTTCAGAATAAAAAGTAATTTTAGACAAATATGATCTTCCAAATTTCTGACAACAGTTTGGGAAAGGCCCTTTTTTGTTCCGGTATGGCTATGTCAAACCAAGCTAAATAAAGAACTTGGTCTGATGAGTTTCGTGTGGAACAACTTGAGTGGCTTGCAGAGAGCCCTGGACTATACCCTATTGAGAATTCATTGATTTGGAATAGATTGGAACACTGACTGTGCACCAGGTCGTCTTGCCTAACATTTGTACCTGGTGCACAGTCAGTGGACCTCACACATGCTCTTTTGGCTGAATAAGCACAAATTCCCAGAAAAACTGCACAATCTTGTGGAAAGTCTTCTTAGGAGAGAGAAAGTTGTTATAGTTGTATAGAGGGGAAGCTGTTATAGTTGTATAGAGGGGTAGGAGTAACCCCATATTAATGGTCATGGTTTTGGAATGAGATGTCGTAGCTCATACAGTATAGTTCAGAGGTCCAAAAATGTATGGAAATAAAGTGTGCACTGCCTAGTGGAAAAGGAAAAAAAAACAGAAGTATTTTTTACTTACCGGTATTAAAGTAAATCTGTCACAAACCTGGGAAATTCAAAGTAAGTATATGATCAAAACACACAGGTCACCTCTAATTTTGCAGAGAAAACCACATGTGAAAAAAGTAGCTGATCCGGAGCTACAGGCAATGGAAGTTTTATGCACATCTAAGCTTTACCTATAAAGGTCAAGCTGGTCCCCTCTATTCTAAACCCATTGGTTCTTTATTGAGATGGCAAAGATCATAAGCCAACAGGGAGGCTTAGAAAGTAAGGGGGGGAGGGCAAGCTTAATTGCAGCTTCACATCGTGGAGAGAGAGAGAGAGAGAGAGAGAGTGTATATTGTTTGTTATATTGTATACTGCTTGTTTTGACATGCGGTTTAACATGAATTGAATGGTGCTGAATTCACTGATTACCCATTGAGTCTGCATTATGGAGGATCTATCATCTCAAGTTTAACACCATCATTCAGCTCTGTAATAGCTGCAGCAGTTGGCCAGGCTGGAAATTCTGGTGTGGACTGCTCAGCACTAGAGATCCAGGCGTGCATGTGACTTAATATGACATCAACAAAATAACCTGAATAGCAGTTTTGAGTGGGCTTGGCTTTTAAATCCAAACGTGGATAAGGTGTTTGATCACCTTAACTGGGATTTCTTTTTTGCATCCTTGACACAAGTAGGCATCCTGAAGTCCCTTCTTGCCAAAATTAAGGCTCTCTTTTAGGCCCCATTGGCTAGGGTATGTGTTAATGGAACTCTTTCCTGTACACTCACTATTTACAATGGGACTCGCCAAGGCTGTCCACTCGACCCCTATCTATATATACAGTATACTGGACATGGAGCACTTGGCTGTGGGTCTTCGCTATAATTCTTCGATCCATTAAGTTGCACTTGAGGCTCGTGAATTTAAGCTTACTATATATGCAGATGACCTACTGATCTATGTTATGAACCCACGGATCCTATGAGAGTTCTCCTAATTTGCTGCTCTGAGCAACTTTAAAGTAAATATGCATACATTAGAAGCCTTTAATGTGTCTTTGTTATCTCAAATGTTTGTGGACCTCCAATGTAGCTTTCCTTTTGTTTGGAAGACTGCCGCTCCTAAATACCTAGGTGTTTTTTTTTATCTCCTTCCTTGGAAGTACTGTACGACCTTAATTATAAACCTTTGTTGTCATCTATCCATTTAAAATTGAAAGCTTGGTCACGATTGAACCACAGCTGGTTTGACAGGATGGCCCTTAATAAGATGCATATACTTCCTTGTCTCCTCTACGGGTTTAGATGGGCCCTAAGGCTTTTTTCAGGTCTTAATGTTCTTCTACAATATGTTATATTTGGACTGGCTCATTGGTCTGCCTGCACTTTACGATCCTTAATACATGTAAATGAGAGAGTGGCATGGGTTTAACTCATGTAGAGCCTATTATCGCATGGCCTTATTGATGCTCCTCTTGGAATCTATTTTTCATGCACCTCATTAACTTTGGGTACAGATAGATGCCCTTCTTTCACCTAGTCCTTTGCTTTCTCTTCCCTAACTTGCCCCCTACACCCATCCATTAGGTACACTTGTACCCTTTTGTATTCTCCTACAAAATGTCTTCTTATATTGTCTTCATTGCCACCGTTCTTGGACACCCTGCTTTCAATCCTTGCCAGTCCTGTCAGAAATGTATGGTCTGGACTGTGTCGTCCCTCTGCTCGGTCCACCTGGCACTCACGGACATGGGACTCTGTCTGCTTTCTTCCCTGATCGAAGACTCTGCTTGCTGACCTGGCCAATGTCTTGCTTATTTTCAACTAAGGGACTTGTATTCCTCATTGGCAAAGCTAGGTGTATTGCACAAGGATTTGAAGTCTTTTGAGAAACTCTACTTCCAAAAAGATGGGCCTTTCCATTACATTTCTGCTCTCTATTACCTCCTTCTGACCTATATGACCCCTGTTGTCCCCTATTATGTGGCTGAGTGGGAAGAGGAATTGCAATGTACTTTCAGAGGATGAAGTCTCTAGGTGTTTCCTCCTGATGCATAAGCTCTCAATGGCCAGTATACTCCAGGCACGGAACTTTAAAATTCTGACAAAATGGTATCATTGCCCTACCACGCTGCACCTTATCTTCTTATCTTTCCTCAGATTTCTGATATGATTTTGGGAATGTCACTCCCATCTGGGGGCTTATACATGTACCTATTTGTGACATTGTGTTTGTTAGGCGGCTAGAGGTCTGTCATGTACTGTATATGGCAAGGAGGAGGTGGAGAATGTCTATGTTGTGTGTATCAGTTTTTTCTCTTTTCTGCATGTTCTATGTTTGTATTAGCAGTCAACAAATGTTTTTATGAATACTGTGGCAGCAGGCTGAAAAAATGTCGTGGCCTAGCCAGAATGGCAGAGATATAAATGCCAGGTTCAGGTGTTATACTAAAGGTTGTCCTTTAGTGGGAAGTGCTGAGAGGGCTGGACTCTTGGAGGTAACAAGCCCAGCTGGAGCTAGCTGGCTTGTTAAGACCTTTACAAGAACTCCCAGCCTCCTAAAGGGTGCCCATACACCTTACAATTATCTGCAGATTTTCTGTGGTCAGATGGGAAAAAGTGCAACGGATTGGCCCAGGTGGAGATTGCTCCATCCACACAGTTAAGTGTAGATGGAGGAATCTGTTGCACCTTTTCCATCTGACCACAGAAAATCTGCAGATAATTGTAAGGTGTATGGCCAGCTTAAGAAAGGAGCCCCACCCTAGAACCAGACTGTGTGTCTGGTGGACTGGGGAGCAGACCGCCTGTCTGGCAATCTGCTTGTGTGGCAAAATAGCAGCCTGTGTGGCAATCCTCCTGTGTGGCAATCCACCTGTGTGGTG